AAATGATATAGAGTGCGCACTAAGTACTACGTTTATATGGTATGCAAATTTGTCACCAGAACAAATTTCCACAGAAGGATAATCTTTTACAAGTACAAGGACTCCTATCGTCGGTCATCGCGTATGCAACATCGAGTACATACAGCAATGTCATTTTCCTCCACACAACTCACTGACCATTTGTGCGTTTGTTTTTGCAAATACATCTATAATTGGATTTTTGGCAAATAATCTTTTGATCCTGGGAAGAATCGTTATTTATTTGTTAATTTATTTGTTAGTTATATTGTTATTAAAGCGAGAATGACTCATGATTCACGTTATTGGACCTTTCAGTTTGATAATCAAAAATTATAAATTCTAGCAATCCTTTCTTGATACGGTCCTTTTTTCGACCGAAACGAATTTTCATGGGAATCTTTCTCGCGTCGTAATTCAAAATTGTATCATTTTCACACAAAGATAAGAAATTATATTGATTTTCGCGGTCGTTATCTAATGATGGTTCTTATAAACGTAAACTCTCTTTTCTTTTTTAGAATTTCGTCTTTCTCCTTCTTTTACCGTTACTATGTATCGATATTGGGGTAATTGGGGTATTGGGCTGTGCATAAATAACTATTAGTCTAATATCTTGGTTGTACAAGCAATCCTATGAATACATACTATGCGTACAATTTTATAGTGACAATAAATCCATTGTAATCAATATAAATAAGTGAAACTTACTACGTATCATCTTTGTGTTATATCTTTACTTAATTTTTATAAAGAATCTCAAATTAGGTGAGTCAAATTCTATACGTACAAATACCGATATCAACATATATTTTATATATATATATTTATATATACAGTATTATATATGGCGCGTGGGTGGACCGGTATAACGCAATGTGTATAAATTTAAGAATGCCGTTGTAAATAAATTATAGATTACTCTTTTTATGTACCTGTTGTGTATGTTGTGTAGTGCGCCCTTTTGCCTTACTTTTTTTGGTTTTCCCATTTTTCTTGGGCTTTTGTTGATTGGTTACAAAGTTGTAGATAGGTTTTAATAAATAGGAGACTCCAACCTTCTCTTGGTTCAGTTTGGTTTCTCTCCAATCAAATTTACGCCTTTGATTCTTGAGGGACCAAAGCAAAAAAAAAGCCCACACAGCGAGATTTCGCCCTCTTTATTGTTGTGTGTCGCTCTTCACCTTGTCCTAACCCCGCCGACCCTCACAAAACACACCGCATTATAAAAAATAAAAAAAACAAAAAAAAACAAAGAAAAACAAAAACAAAAAAGCTTTCTTCCTTTTTTTCTTTACAAAGACTCCTCGCCAAACTCGAGTTTTTCTCACTTTTTGGTATCGTCTAACCTATCAGATTCAACCTTTTCGTCGGTACTTTTCTTTTCCGTTTAATTATTTTGAGTTTTCTTGCTCGATTTCTACCACCTACTGTAATACTATAACATCGAATTTTTAGAGCTGGTTAAAAAGCTCTCACAGTAGGATGATAGAAATCAAAGATTATCGAAGTTGATATAATTGATATAATCGATATAAAGATATCATTTGATATATATGACTTGAGTTTTATACTTTTATATGTTATCTTTTAATAGTGACGCGTCACCCTCTGAGTCATAGTTTATCTTATACACGCATAATAAATTCTATATATCAACGTACTAATCTGCTTCTCTCAAAATCTCTCTTTTTAAATACTGTGCATACCCTTCAGCACTAAACGGAAAACCCGATCAAGTAGCGACATCTCAAGAGAACTAATTTCTAATCAGAATAAAGCGTCCCCTCACTCCTTTGGTCGACACTTTCTGTGAACAATCAAACTAAGTTTGCGGGACTCTAGTGTGCAACGGCTAAAAAACAACACAACAGGACACCGTTTTTTGCTTTCTTCCTCGCATAGCGCCAGCCTTCAAACTTTTCTGGTTCGGCGCTAATTTATAATTATTATTTTTTTGATTAAGAACCCCTTGTTTGTGTTCCAACTTCTACTTTTTTGTTTGTAGCTGACACATAATGTTCTAAACTTATTCCGCATTCCGAACCATCTCACATTTCATAGTTGCTCTGTTTAACAGTTCAACAAGAAATCGAGTGCTACGCCTTTTTAGTTATGCAAGCAACCCCACTCTTTTTTCCAAACAAATTTGACTAATATCGGTATCGTGCGTAAAATAACAACAATTCTTTTCAATTTCAAATCACGATTCCTTTTATTCCATCCTTATTATTATTTTTTTTTTTTTGCTGTTTGCATTATCAACTACCTTATATTGTATCATCTATCCTTCTTTTTTCCTGTCTTTAAGAGACTCATTGTGTCTTTTAATTTGTAATATAGCCATTTATACATATATATATATTCTTTCCCTTTATCATTATTATTATTTTTTTTTTATATATATACAAAACTCACTTAATTGCATCATTAACTGGCATTTGTCAGTATGGCGTTTTAAATAGGAACTGTGTACAAAAAGATGACCATATTTTCATTCAACAATACAGACACCAAACCCATCGCGTTATCAACGTATTTGGAAACTAGTTTGCTAGTTGGCCATCGTTCCCACAAAAAATCAATCAACTCTTCAAATCAGAGCATCGCTTGGTATCTACTTTACATCTCTCCTCATCGGCGACGAAAGTCGATCGAACAATATCTAGAAAATATATATTCCTTGAGTTTAATTTCTATTCCTTGTCCTTGACACATCTGCCAGATTCTGATCCTCTTGTTCCCAAAAAAAAAAAAATACAATAAAAAAAAGAAATAGCCTAAACTCAAGCCGGTTCTTGAAGAAAAAATACTTCAGATATCTCAAAGTAAAAAAGAAAAAAAAAAAAAAAAAAACAAAAAAAAAAGAAAAAAAAAAAAAAAAAAAAAAAATATCTCAATTACTTTTCTTCAAAATGTAAAAA